TGACAAGCACGTTTCCCCAGGGAAAATATGGTATTCTTTGCATATTCTGTTCAATACCAGCAACATTTCTATTTTTAATTATTGATCAAACAGGAAGTGTATGTGGTACATCCATCTATTTTCTATACCCATTTGTACTATGCAGGAAGCTATGGGCGCAAGGCAGGGAATAAGACACTCTCTCTGTCTCTGGAGTTACCTGTGTTGTAGATATGCGCATGTGTAAAGGTATTTACATATGCACATACATATACATAATCATACATACATACACGCAAACACACAAACACACAGGTGTGTAATCAAATCTTTTTGGGGACCGCAAATTCATTTCTATGGGAAAAATTTTAAAGCTAATTATCATAACCTTTTTTTTTTTTTCTTTTGTCGTGTCTGGCAGCTTTAGCAAGCAGAATCATGGTCTGAATGCACTGCTGTGCCAAACATGTTTGCTTTACCATGAGTGGCTCTATAAACTCCGTATAGGCCCCTCATGTTGATTGATTTCTTTTTATTTTATTTGTTTTAATTTTTAGCACATGTAAAATATCGCATTGGCTGAGCTGGCCCGAAGTGGAGGGACAAATTAGGAGGGGGAAGGGAAAAAAAAAACACAAACAAAAATAAAGAATAAAGAAAATAACACAGCTATACAAACATACAAAATTGTTGTGTGTGCTTGGAGGGGCACATGCAAGCGTATGTGCATGCATGTTCATCTGTGTAGGCAAGGTGTGCGGGCTTGTGTGCATGTGTTGTGTGCATGTGTTGTGTGCGTATGTTTTCAACATGGAACATACTAAATAGCGAGGGTGGGAGGCCACAACCATACCCAACGAGAGCCAGAGGTCATCAGAGACAGGCCCAGGAGGCCCAGGACGGTCGCAGACCCCGAAGAGCACGGAAGAGCCAGGGCCCTACGTCCCAATGACAGCTGCGCCCCCACTCCAGCCGGGGGAGGAGAGAGGTCCCAGATGCGGCCCCCGCAGCCAAAAGGGCATGAGCCCCAGAGAACCAGAGGCAACAGGCAGCCGACCCTGCGAGGGGACGGCTGCTCCTGTACAAGCCAAGGCCAGGACCCCCCAGATGGCCGGGGGCCGACCAGCCCCACGGTGGAGAGCCCCGCCCATGCCGGAGAGGCCCGAGCCCTCCCCCAGGCCACCACCCCAAGGAAAAGGGCCAGCAACCATGCCTAGGAGACCAACCACACCCTGGACGGAGCAGCAAGCCCCGGACCCAGACCCACACCAGCCACACAGACACACGTCTCAGCCATGTACATAGACCATACACACATTCCCGCAACATACACAGACACCCACACACAGTGACAAAAAGACATAAGCCCATCCACTCTGGACTATGTAACTATGACAATCTGTGCGGGCAACTGCTCCACATAAGGTAAAAAAAATGGGTATTCATCATATTGTGGGGACATTTGGTCCCCACAAAGTAAGGTATACCTGGACCACACACACACAATTTAGCAACTCCAAGTCACCATAGCCTATTTTTGGACTGTGAGGGGAACCCATGATGATACAGGAGAACCTGCAAACTCCACACATATGGAGTCAGGGAAGAGACTTGAACCCTGTCCCAGAGGTCTGAGGCAACAGTTCTAACCACTGCACCACCATGACACCCTCACCTTTAGCGCAAGGGAAGCACCTCAATTCCTATTGGAGACTAACTCTGTCCAAAGTTTGAATACTGCTGACATTTTTTGTTGTTAGGTTTTTTAGGATATTCCTCTTCCAGCTCAGTCCATCCACACATTTTGCAATTGTGCTGCTGATTGTGTGACTCAGAAGTTCTTCAGAACATGAATTGAGCCATTTTCCTACAACTACTCAGTCCAATGTGTGCCTCAACAGGAAACCCATGTAAGGTGACGACTCCATATGTAGGGTCAGAATTAAACCCACAATGATTAAGCTGTGAGGCCACAATGCTACACACTCGACCCCCTCATCACTCAAGGTGATATTTCCAAGGGTTGTCTGAAACCTCAGTTTGAAAAAAAATAAAACCTTCAATGGTTTTTTTGATCCCCTAGAACATTGTTTCCCAATCTGGTTCTCAGGGACCCCCAGGCAATCCATGGAAAATGTGGACTGTCTGGCAGAGAACTGGGAGGGAGCAGAAACGTGGACCACCTAGGGGTCCCCAAGGACTGGGTTGAAAGACACTGCTCTATGAAAACAATGGCATAATGATACTTTACAGTCCACACACCCTGGTTAAAATGGCAAGTTATTGTGATGTAAAAAAAAAGATAAATCGTGTCTTTTTCCACTACCAATGTGAAATTATAACCTACACAGAAAAGGTGAAAATAATTGAAACCGTTTACAGAAAAAAAAAACATTAAAAACCTGGTTGCAACACCCTTAACCTAATACTTTGCTGAAGCACAATTTTAATTTTATGACAACATTTTACATTTTATGACAAGTGTTTTTGGATAAGAGTCTATCAGTTTGGCATAACCTGACTGGAAATATTTTCCCACTCATTCCTACAACTTCCTGTTTTCCACACCCTGCACAATAAGGGTGTGTAGAATTTTTATTTCTTTTGGGTTAAAATTTTTAAAAAGTACAGTAACTGACCAGCTTCTGATCTGTTTTGCAAGCATTGAATTTGAATTTAAACTAAATTCTGCCAGAAATTTAATTTTGTTCACTGCAAATTCATGCCGGTTGATAACAGATGAGAATAACCAAAAATGTGTTGAATTTCTCTTTATTCTGAATCATCCCTGCCTAGATTACTCAGGTGCAGAGAAGATGGGACTCCTATTCACCCTGGGTTATTATGTGACATTTCTCCCATTATATCCATTTATGCCTGTACATATTTTAGCACATTATGTCTGGACATGTATTTTCTCAGGGGTGTAAGAGGTTCCTCCTGCAATCACAAGATTTCTTGATTCTGGTCCTTAATGCTGTATGGGGACAATTTTGTGTCATCGTTATCAAGGACAGTCTTAATGACTGACCAATGCTACAATAGACATGTCTCTATGCTGTGATAGCAGTTGAAACTTTAATGGGAGTAAGACTGAAATGATAATTCTCTGAATGTCATTTTATTAAAAGACAGAACAGTGAAAAAAGACATCACAACGAAGCAGAAAGTTGCACACATATATTCCTCATGGTCAGCATGTGTGTGTTCGGTCATGTTTCAGCCCATTCGTCTTCCTGAGGCTCCGAGTGACACAGCGACATATGATTGAGGTTCCCTCTGGCATCTCCAGCTGTAGCCGGTTTGCTGAAGTTTTCAGCCGACGTCAGTACTGTCATGGTCACCCCGTCACACTCAATTTCAGAGGGGCCCGTGAAGTCACTAATCTGAACTGGGTGACAAAAGGATGAATGGTATAACTGAGCTCGATGGCACTTCACCAAAGGTCTCTAATTAAGTCCCCTAGTAACAGCTCACAGAAAGTTATGGCCAGCTCTATTAGTTCTTGAAATAACACTTTAGTAGTTGTCTGGCCTTGTGCTTGAATTGGCAGCATTGTGGAGGCGTGCAGATAAGGTCATAGGCAGATAAGGCAACTCTAGACTTCTCTTCCCCGGGGGTGCAAGGTGTGTCCCTATTAGAGGGGTAGACGCTCAACTGAGTGGGGGGTCCCCTCAGTAAATTTTGTTGTGTGATCATCAGTGATTGAAAAGGGGCACCCTGCACCTGGGAAGTAGGGCATCTTCATTTGTTTGGCCAAATGGGCCATTCCCCCCACCCCCACATGTGCCTGATCTAGATAAATATATTAGTAAAAAAAAAAAGTGGTGAATATGTTTGCTATGATTTATTATTATACATTGATATAAATAATACAAGGTGCATTTTCAAATACAACTTTGCAATATTATTTAATTCAGTTGAACTCAGGTTCAAATAATATTTTCATGAGGTAGAGTATGCAATGGCTTCCCCTATGCCCCCGGTAAAATCACCTATGTATAAGGTAGATATTGTATGTAACCTGGATTATTGTTGTTCTCTGGAATAAGCTTCCTTGAAACAATAAAATCAAAGCTTTTTCACAGGTTTTACTGCCAAGGAGTTCACATACCTTCACAGGGAGGGGGGTGATTGTGGAATTTGTCATCCAAGCATAATGTTGGGTAATGCAGATCGTTTTCGTGCAGAATCAGTGATAAGTGACCCGGGTTCTCTGTGGACTGGGACCCTGGGGAGGTGGGAGAAAGAATCAGATTGTGCCGGGTCAGCTGGTGTGGTTGGGGGGAAGGGGGGGGGGGCTCTTTCAGCATCTCTTATGCACCTGTGATCTGTGCGCGGCACTGCCGGCTCCTTCTCCAGTACACATACACGATGATCACCACTAGTACCGTGGCCACAAAGCCCACCCAGAGACTGACAGGTACCATCCACAGACACTCTGAAACACAGAGGAGGGACAGTCACACTTCTGCCTGAAGGAACACCTTAAAGGGCCCTTTGTGTTCATTATAGGTCTGCATTAAGTTTATACTTAAATACAATTAAATACATTTGTTTATAGAGAGTCTGGGACGCTTGTCCAATTCTGTTAAAATGTTGCAAATTTATTGGTTTCATGACAAAAGTCCATTTAAAAGCAATAATTAACATATCTGCTCATACCTTTCACACAGACATTTTCATTTTTTTTTTAAATTGTATTGTAGCGATGTTACTAATTAAAAAACACCCAGTGAGACTGTCAATAAACTTGGAACAGCTCTTTTAGGACTATATTTTGGGTTTCAATGTATTGCTTCTTGATCGGAATGTTTTACTTAAAACTACTGGTTGTTTGTAATGTGATATATATTTTTGTAAACTAATTAATAAAGTAATTCTTGTCGTAAAAATAATAAATTTGCAATCTTTTGACTGAATTAAGAAAGTGTCCCAAGACTTTCTGTGAGTTCTGTATATAAACAAGTTCATAACATTTCTCAGCAAAGCTTCAGAGAGCTAGTTATTGAAATACCTATATTACAGATTGTATTGATAAATTGTAGTATGAACCATGTTAGTGTTGCTTTCTTACCATACCTGTGTTGGGATTGGGAGTACATTTGGCATCCGCAGTATTCGTTCCATGAGTTACTAATTCCAAGCCGAGACTTTTACAGCTAGAAGGGGGATTGAAAAGAGAGATGAACACAGACAGAGAGTACAACTTCAGAAATTAAGCATGTGATTCACAATTCTGCCTAGTAGTGTCTTATTTTGGGGTCATACTGTCAAGTCAAGTATGTTTTATTGTCATACCATCCATATACAGGTATACAGTGTCACAAAATAACATTCCCCCTGGACTAGAGTGCATCATACATACTGCAGCAACACACAGCAAGTGTGTGTGTGGGGTCCAGGTATACTTTATCTTGTGGGGAGCAAATGTCCCCACAACATGATGAATACCTGTTTTTTGACCTTATGCCTGGTCCCCATAAAGGAAAGCTCAATTTTCTAAAAAATACATGGCTGCAATCAAACAACTAAAAATGCAAAAAATCTTGTATTTTGTTTGGTTACTTGTGGTTATGGTTAGGGCTGGGTAGGGGTTAGGGTTGTCATAGTAAGAATTAGCATTTTTCCTATAGAAATGAATGAGCGGTCCCCACAAACATATGATTACAGGTGTGTGTGTGTGTGTGTGTGTGGGGGGGTGGGGGTTGTTCAGGTCCAGGAAGTACAAATCCATCAACATTTTCCTTCAACCAACCACTTTATACCCTGTGACTGTGACTTTATACTAAACTGGTGGGTTGAAAAAAAATTTTGGTCTGGATTTTTACTTTGTGGACCTGAACTATCCACCTCTATGTACACACACACACTATCCCAGATATAGGCTCAAAGTGGAAGGAAAATAAGAAAGTGAGAAACTGACTCGGTATGTTTCAGGCAAGGTGCATATAGGTCTGTCACATTGCTGTACTCTCCACTGGCACACGGCACACACACTGTGTCAGATTTTGAGGTATCTGTCAATAGAAGAAAAAGGAACTATCTTTTAATTTGCATATAAATCAAGAGCAATATAAATATTACATATAACATTATGGTTATGGCAAATGTAGAGAAACAAAATCAGAGGACATGGAAAGTGAGTAAATTTCAAATAAATTTTAACAGGCACATCATTAATCAAAATATTTTCTTGAAAAGTAAAATAAACATCTTCATGCTACCAAAGTATATCTGTAATGTCCATCCATGCCTCACAGTCAGGGTACCTGGGGATGCGTGATGTGCAATATGATAGCTGTGGAGTAATCTGCTGCTTTGGCAGGTGCGGGGTGCCATGGCAGAGGGGCAGGGTGGCACTCACGTTTCATCTCGACCCCCTCTCCGGCGGGGCACTTCTTGGCAGGGCGACAATGATCACACTCCTTCTCCAGGCAGTAGTAGCCCTCCTTGCACTTGCACTGTGTGTCTGTGTCAATCTTGCACTCGGATTCCCTTTCCAGAAAGCTGACTGGAAGAAGCGGGAAGGTCAACTGCCAGGGCAGGGGGCTACAAACTTCACGGGGGGGGGGGGTGGTGGCAGACTTACTGGAAGGGCAGTCTTTACAGGGTTGACATTTTCCCAAATAGTTCAGCTTGTCCATGTAGTGACCATGCCCACATTGCTGACACTTGGTTGTAGTGTTCTGGTCACATTCGGCCACCATGAACTGTCCTGCACAGATAGGGATACAGAGCGAACAGGGTAACCATTGTGCCGCTGTCATGCGCTGCCTGGCTACGCTCAGCTACCCACTTCAATCTTTCCTCTGCATTTTTGCTTTAAAGACCAAACCAAAAGGCACCAAGCTCAGCTGAGCCGACAGATACAGAGAGCCATTCAGATTCGGCGCTAATATCAAACGATGCTCACCTTCCTTGCAAAGCTTGCAGCACCTGTCCCCGTCATGTGTGGACGGGTGTTCATCTGGACGACAACGCAACTGTATGGTGCTCATCTGGCTGTCCATTGGCTTATCTCTTTTTGATGTTGCCTCCACGTAACTCAGCACTTCCTCTCCCTTTGCTTCGCAGTCTGTTTGAGCCCCTACCAGGCTGTCAGCTCCACTGTGTGAGCCGCGATCCACGGCAGTCTTCTGGGTTGTCGCCTGTTTCCCGAGTCGCTGTACAATTGGTGTTATCTCCTCGATCACCTCTGCCTATCTACATGATCATGAACAGTGTTTCCTCTAAAACTCAACCTCGTCTCGCCCACTGCCCCCCCACCACCTTCTTCCTGTGCACTGGAAACTCCCCTCCCGCCTCCAACCCCCTCTCCGGTCTGTTTCGCACTACTTTTTTTTTCTGGGTGACTTCCTGTTGTCTAGTATCAGTACAGCAAGACAGAAGTCTATGACTAAAGCAGTTACGCTTATGTGGCTTTTACTGTGACTTATGTATGCATGCTATGTGTGTGTGTGTATGATGGGAACTGGCCTAAATACTTCAAGACAGGCCACTTGTTTTTCATGTGAAAGTACAGGTATAGTACAACTGGTGCTGCAAAGCCGCACTCAGTGCCAGCATAGTCAGCTATGGCACTGATATGCTGTCTCCCCAGTCCTCCCTGTCCTGACCCAGTTGGTCCCCTCTGGCAACATGTGAGAGGAAAAAGAACAAACAAAGGCAAATTGATTTTGGACGCTTGCTCAGTGTTTAAAAAATAGTTACCGGATGGGAGGAGTTAGTAGGTCTGGTGGTCAGCTTGTTAGAGAAAGAGCCGTTATTTGTAGGTCTTGATCATGCTCAGGTATGTCCGTTGCCCTTGCTTTAAATTTGTGTTATAAACATAGATATTTATTTACTTATTTGTTGGTATAAATATTTAAATAGCTAGTATATGTCTATGTACTGTATAAGTAATTTAATTATAATTCAAGTAATGCTTTGTTTGTCTTAGCCTGTATCTACTCTTCCTACCTCTGTCTGCCTGGTCTCTGCCCCTGTTGGGGTGGGTGGAGTCCCCAGGTTACCCCAGAGGTTACCCAGAGGACACCACTCTAAACTGGATGAGATGTGCTCCTCCTGGCAACGCCCTCTCACTCACGCTCACACACCTCGACCTGGAGGACAGCGAAGACTGCACTAATGATGCATTGCAGGTCAGTTCCTTGCATCAACCTGTAATTTCTCTTACACATATCTAGCAATTGTACATTAATGCTATTAATGCTAAGGAATATGAAGACATTTATTGGCTTAAACTGCATAATAAAGCCGCTGTTTGCCATTTCTGACATCAGAAGTAGAGGCCTTGCTCTGCATCCCAGTCCTATCCTGCTCTTCCCTCTTCCTCCATCTCAGATCTCAGTGGACAATAGAACTGTCTACAATCTTTGTGGCCGCATGTCCTACGAGGAGCTCCAGTCATCTGTCAATCCCTCACTTCTGTCTTCAGTATCAGGCTGTTTGTCTCTCTCCTTCAACTCTGACTATTCCAACTCTGAGAGGCACAATGGCTTCAGGGCCTTCTACACCGTGCAAGGTGGGCAATGGCTGGAGACGGCAACGTAGCCATGATAGCGTGACTCTTAGCATGGCGGCAGTTGATGCTGACCTTCTGTCTATACAGATGTGGATGAATGTGCCCATGAAGACAATGGATGCAACCATTTCTGCAGCAACTATATAGGGGGGTACCGCTGCTTCTGTCGCCATGGTTACCGTCTCCAAACCGACACACGCACCTGCACAGGTAATACAAATAGAGACATTCAAACTTAATAATTTTGCTGCTACATCTTTTTATCTTAAATCAGGAAAAATAATCTAGTGATTAGACCAGCTATTGATCATGGATTCACTAATAAAAAACAAAATGCACGGCCATTGCAATGGTTAAACCCTTGTTTCTGCCTACAGCTCAGTTTCCTGCTGCATTTCTGCCTGTCTATTCTGGTAGAAACATTTGAACATGGGAAACAGAGAGCTCATAGATTTAAGAATGAACTAATGCAAAATCATTGTAGTTACTGATTTGACAAATACGTGCATGCATGCAGCACATGGGTCTTATATTTGCATGTAGCATGCACAGTATTCCCAAACGTCTCACAGTGTGAAGCTACAGAATGACGCAAGGGTTTTTTTTTTATAGGTCCAAACAAATTCCCCATGTAAACTCGTGTGTTATTACATTTTTAGGGTGCAGATACCTTGTGTTGGCTGTGGGGTTAGTGTTACTAAAGGTGAAGAGTGAGCATCATTTCCAATTGTAATGTCCCAGAGTGATACACAAGGTGTTAACTGAGCATCACGTCTCTTTCTGGTGAAGCAATGTGTACTGAGGACCTATCAGGGTCCCTTCAGGGCATGGTGTCAAGCCCTGGTTGGCCAGGCTCATATGCAGCAGATGCACAGTGCTCCTACACCCTGTCGGTGGAGGATGGAGTCCAGCTGGTCCTGGAATTCAACGGGGAGTTTGATGTGGAAGAAGAGGACGGAGTCTGCAAAGACTCCTTGCTGGTGGGTGATGATAGTTGTGCTGCTTTCCTGTTGAGTCTTTGGGGTAGAGGCTGCTGTCAGATTTGATGAGTTGTGCTCATCGACTGTGCGAGGCTTACTCTCTGCTTAATTCAAGTAATGCCAGCAAAACTTAACATGCATCCCCTACTTATTCTGTTACATTTGCATTTATGATGACATGATTATCTCAGATGGTTATCAGGGTTTAGTGTAGGAGATGAGATGGTACCAGACAATGAAGAGCAGTCTGTATTTTGTTATTTAGGTTACCCTGGAGAAGTGCTGAAATTCAGATGAAGGACATTTGATGACATTTTATAAGACAAGTTTCAATCAGCACTGTACTGACATGAAATGTACCTTATAAATCTCTTTATAAGTTATTTGCACCACATTGTGTCTCATTGGGACAGATAAAGACTCCAAATCAAGACTTTGGCCCATTCTGTGGTAAAGACCCTCCTGCTTCGCCCATCCTTACTGGATCTCACCAGGTCCAGATTGTCTTCAACTCAGACAGCTCAGGAAGCAATGCTGGCTTCAGACTCATCTATACAAGCAGAGGTGACAGTCATCTGTGCCCTTGGTGAAATTGGATTACATTATTGGAAAGAAATGGTCAATTCTAATGATGGCTTTTTGCTGATTCCAGAAAAGACCTGTCCCAATCAAGTAACACCCAACTCACAAGTAACACCAAAACTTCCCAGGTATCAAAAAAGCCAAAAGGTCACTGTGCAATGCAACACTGGGTTCTTTCATAACCAAGTAAGTAGAAACACTCATGATTATCACATTTCAGTGTACGATATCTCAGTAGTTTATGGGCTTACAACATACCATTTGCCAGTATAATATGGTTTGGCCTTGTCTAGACATCTGAGTATTTCTATATCTTGTGTATCCTTCCTGCTCCCTGAGTAGATTACATATTCATTTATTTAGCAGATGCTTTTGTCCAAAGTGACACACAAATGAGGCAAATGGCACATTATAAACATTCATGCTGTCAAGGAGCCAAATAGGTATACTGTAAGTGCAGCTAGGCTGAGCTTCCAGTGAATGCCCAGGTACAAGTTAAAGCAGTACTGTAGCAAGAACTGCACAAAATCTGTCAAATAAAGCAAGATTCTAAGAACACAGCTATTCAAATCAGCAGTTATTCACATGGGAAGATTTATTGAATGTTTTCTGACAGGATGTTGCTGAAGTACCGCATATCATTGATAATGTCACCTACACATCTTGGTGTGGCAGGACTGGCACCTGGAGCCCTGTCTATAGCTGTGAAGGTGATGTGAGACATAATAATGAGGACAAATATGCATGGTGACAATGCTAAAAAAGGATACAAAACTCACTGGCATGAACTCATACAGTTATCAATACTGTTACAGACGCATCAGCATTTAAGTGATATGTCAGCAAATGTTATTTAATAATACAAATCATAATACAATGAAATTTCCTCTGGTGTCCACTGAACACTGCAGTTGTGGAATGCGGTGAACCTGACATTCAGGAAAACCAGTGGCCTCTCGACATACTCAACATGACCAAAACCCAGTACCAGGGTGCCATTCATCTTCAGTGCAAATCGAAATACTACAATCTGGAGGGAGAGGGTATGTATGTCACTATGTTAGCAGCCATACCACCTGCAACTCAGACTAGGTAATCCATCCCAGACATAAAAATGGTGCCATCCTTCGGATGAGACATGAAACCGGGCTCCTGACTCTCTGTGGTCATAAAAGATCCTTGGGCATCTGTTGACCCTTTATGATCTGGCCACCTAATTGTCCCCTATATCTAATTAGTGAATTCTCTCCTGCCCCTTCACCACCTTAGCTACTGTGTGGTGAATGTACTGGTGCAGGATGGCTGCCATCCCATCATCTAGGTGGGTGCTACACAGTGGCACCGCCTTAGTTCTGTCAAGTGCCTTGGTTGTGTTGAACTGTTCTATATAACATGCTATATACATACATACATTTAATAATGTAATCATGTCTACAGTGGAGGGGTGGCTGTGGCTCAGCAGGTTGGGACACTGTCCCACTGATGGGGTGATTGCTGATTCGAATCCCAGGATCAGAAAAGCCCCCGAGCCACCCATGGACTGTCTGATACTGCTCTCCCTAAATAAAAATGTGATTTTGGATGAAGTGTCCACTGGAGATGGTTATGCACTGTATTATTATTGTTCTGGCCTAAAAATTTGACTTAAACACAGGCTTAGGGAACAGATCTCATTTGAAACATGGGGATTGTCTGTACTGGATCTCCAAGCCCTTCTTGTCACCCTCTGGAAATTTTACAATTAATTAACATGGTATTATAATGGAGAATAAGGCTGTATCATCGTGTAACATGATTGCTGTCTACCGAACCCCTCAGAGAGGTATATCTGTGATCATCATGGCGAATGGAGGTCTGAGGCTGGTCAAACTGACTTTCCCAAATGTGTGCCAGGTATACTGCTCCTCCACACCACAGTACACAATGCTGGTGCCCTGTTAATACCTCTGCATGTCCATCACATAATTTATTTGAAAAGCTAGACTGCAGACAGATAAAGAAACTGTCAGAAAGATTACAGGGCCCAACACCATCCAAGTTCTTAGTAGTTTTAGTGTTTTATTTGGCGTGCAGAACTGCAAAGTTCATGCTTTATATTTAAATATATTGACAGTCTTTAGTCTTTTATGATGTTTTCAGTGTCCATGTTTGTGAACGAGTACTTCAGTCATTTTCAGTAAT